GTCACAATAATAAAATTCTAAACTGGATTCCAATACTAAAAGAAAAGCATGTTACTCAGTGTCAATACCACATAATAAAGCACAAATTTTACCACCATAGAATTTAATTTTCAACACAAAATAGTAGGCCTGTTGTCCACTTTGTTGACTACTCACAAGTCCTGCCAATCATGTAGTCGACTAAAAAGGGGGCGTGGCAAAAGCTCTCAAAACTATCACGTATCTCTATCGATGGAGTCTGTGCAAAAATGAAAACTATATGTATCTAAAGACAGACTAAATGTGTGAATCACGAATTTAATCAGCCTTTCCACATACCCAAAAATACCAAATCTTCACTAACTCACTCACTAACCTTTCTGCTGATGTCCCATATAAATCCTTATTATTTCAATAAAATGATAAGTTGACTCATACAAATTTTGGTCAATTTGGGTCCCCATTGACCCATTAATCAACTAAAGGACTAGAGCCATACATCCCTACAAAATAGTGATTTCTTGAATATTACCATCAAAACCATTTTTAAAACTAAATAGATCTTTTCTATATCGATATTCAGATGAGTTTATAATCTGAAAATCAATAAAACACTAAATTTGTAACATTCATCAAGACAAAAACTCCTATAAAACACAAATGATGAAAGGAACTTTATTGTTTTTAATGTGGCGCTGTTGAATTTAAACTTAAAACCCCTTTGTAATAAATGTCATCAAAGGTAGTTTACATCTATATATTTTTAAGATACAGACAATGCATCTGCTGATAACACTTTGCATGATATGGTGCAGTTTTGTTGTAGACATATCAGGCAGATTTAACCAAATATAATCCCTCCAATTGTTCATCTTGTTTCCCCATTGACACATATGGCTGTTTGGCTTCTCCCCTCTCCATCTCTTGTCTTGCTCGTCACATCGTTTTAATTACAGAGGCTTCATTGTCTGCGCTGACCCATTTTTGAGTGGCTCCCTGGTTGTCAGCTGCGTGGTCCCCTCCAATCACACTTAATTTCATCTGACATTTGACTCAATCGCCTCTGCTGTGAACAGGAGCTCTCAAAGCCTTCTAAACCAAAATGAATCTACAGGAGCAACAAACATCTCTTGGGTTTTCTCCTCTGAGGGTTTTGGGGCTGCGCTGTGCCACAACATAGGAGAGCTTTTAGTGGTGACGATTGATATGGGCGACTGGGGATGAACGCTGGGATGTTAGTCACTGTTTACACTTAAAGGGGGGGGGGGGGGGGGGATACAGTAATAATATGGACCCCTTTGGCTGTTATAGGAAAGTTTTCCAATTGGTGTTTGTGCAGGAGTAACTGATTCATACTTTTTCTGTGGATTACCATTTTGCCACAAATTTGCCCAAATTTTTCTAAGGTCGCCAATGCAAATAATTGGATTCCTCTCGCAGGGTTATCCGATACGGCAAAATATGATATAGCACTGTGCTTAAAAAATGGGTTCATTTTAATATTAATGCTGTTCTATGCACAGTGCACACAACCAATACCAACTTTTAATCAGAGCCATTTCACTGAAAGAGATTGTCCCATTTAGACCTCTCAATTAAAGTAAACCCCAAGCTCATTTGAAAAGTTGAAATAATTGGATCGCTATTCAATTAAATTTAGATAAATTGTGCAGCCCTATCATGCCATTTGTAGCTCTACTCAAAGTTTTGGCATGGGTTCTTAACATATGTTCTTGGGACTACACATTGACATTGCATACTGTACATTTTGAAACATAAAACACTGTTTTGTTTAGGCCTGTTATATTTACTGTGATGACTGATCGTTCAGTATATGTTTTGACGGAACACTACATTTTTTGGTTCTCAGTATTCATCAGCCTTTTCTTACTACTGCTTATTGTTATTTTTCTGTATTACAATAATAGTTAAGCTGAAGAGAGTTGAATAAATAACTTCTATGACTCATTAGAGATGCAAACAAACAAGTGTTTCTTTCTGCCGTTAATTTAGAGCAGTTTGTGATTTTTAACCGTATTAAATATTTAGAATAGTTTTTTGAGGGAAATCCTGCTTTAGCGGTTTTGTGTTAGTAGCATAAATAAGTTCAAATATTATCGATAATCATCTATATTTCCTTCAGCCGTATATATCACACTTAAAAATGTATTATTGAGACAGTCTTGCTTCTTTCCATAGAACAATCACACTGAGCAAAATCTTATTCACTTCTGAGAATAGAGCCATAGTAACATGGGAGATGTGAGCCGCTATCTCCCTGCACCATCTCAGCAATGTTCCCAGTGCTCGGATAGACTGGGATATCTCTTAGACTTCCATTTTGTTATCTAAAAGAAGAAAGGGGCCAGAGTAACACTTGCTGCGATAAATGGATACGTAAGGTTAATTACCAACCAAGCCTGATGCACGTAACCCCCAGTCAAGTTATACAGCGTTTGCCCTATCAAACCAGAAAGACATATGTTGTGACAGAGGAGATGCTTGTTTTTATTTGTTCTTGTGTCAGATATAGTTTAGTGGGCCAGTATTACATATAGCAACACTACAGGGCTGTTGCATTGAGTCTCAGCCACCTGCTTTCACAAGTGCTCCTAGGGCTGCACATCTCACTGGTGCGGAACACTGTTAACATAGCGGCGGATTCCCAACTCTCTCCAGGGCATGGACTAATTAATGGATACAATTTGGAGTTGATTAGCAGCAGTTCTTCGGTAATTACATTCACATACAAATCGCGCTGAAAGAATGGGCGAAGACCAAGAACAAAAACACACAAAAATATATTAGCGCACTTCTCATTTCGGTCCGATCTTAATTAGTTTCCGCTGTTGTTGAGATAGCGGCCTATTAGAGGTCTTTGTCAGTCATAATATTTAAAGAACTTTGTAATAAATGCATAATAGGGATTAGCCCGATGCTTTGTTAGAATACGGGAGCATTTTCTCAGTGGTTGCGTTTCTTTCCTCTTTTTTTTCCGAAGCAGCGTTTGCACTGCTCACTCACACAGAGGTGCATTGTGCTCTTGGGCCCAGCTGCTAACCCATAATTCTTCATTCTATGTCCCATTGTTCCTACCTGTCAGCATGCTTGTGTCTCTAAAGAAAGGAAGTAGATGCCATTTTGCTAGCAGGCTATGTATGCGGCTCCAGGGGGCGGGGAAATGTTGTGGAAACATATTATTTCTTACCTAAGTACAGGGTTCTAATAACACATCAAGTGCTTTTTATGCTAATTTGTCTTTTAATGTCAGTCAAAAGCTCACTGCTGGTTTGGCTCGGAAAGTTATCACTTGCTTTGAAGTTGTTTTGATTGCAAGAAACAATGATTTTAACATTTGAAAGAGTGATTTGGGATAGTGTTGAAGTTTTGTGTTAACTGCCATTTGAATATTTGTTTAGTAAGAGAAATTGGTTGCACTAATAATTACATTTTATCAACCATAATAAACAAAAAATGTATTCATAATGATCCAATCGTATATTAAGACTGATTCCCCAAACCCCTTAATTAAGTAGTTACTAAACATGAATCATTCCTAATAAACTGTTCATTGAGGCCTAATTTGGGTAACCAGGTTGGCACCACCTAGTGGCTCCACTAAATTTCATTTCTCTCCAGGTCAGATCAGAATACACTAGACGGTTCGCAAAAACCCTGGAAGTATGAGTCCGGGCACCAGCCAATCAGTGAAGAGCCATACATTCTGTGTTGGCAACGATTCCCGAGATCGAGGATTTAAAGCCGGAACAAAGAGAATGTTTGGTGAATTTTATCAAGGGGAAAGACGTTAATGCCCTTCTTCCTACGGGATTTGGGAAAAGCTTAATATACCAGTTAGTGGCGCATTACATATGTCATGACCAAATAGCAGCGATTGGTTAAATGAAAAAAAAGTACCCGCCGTATTGTTGAGCAAATTAATTCTAACGCTGTGAGTTCAGATGGTTTCTATGAAGTGAAACCGGCTGATGAATCAGACTATAATTGGAGTATAGTTACTATAATGTTGTACTGTGCAGTATTTTATTTCTGGAATGGCTGGTCTTGTGACAAATCTAAATACAGGTGTTAATTCTGGAGTTGTCTTTTGTTTCTTTTGTTTCATTTACACATGTCTGAATCCTTTTACCCTTTGTTCAGTAAAGATGGGCCATTCCAGGGCTGAAATTACCCACATGATTCTAGTGAAGCTGTATGAGTTTAAAAACACAGTAGTGCACTTCCTGTATTACCACATGACATCATAAGGTGAAACAGTGTTTTCTGTTTAAGACAAGAACTCAGCCTAAATATGCAGGGTTTGTGTTTTAAACGTGTGAATGAAACAAACCACAACTCCAGATATGTTTTTGATGAGGAAACAACGTAACATATATCAGAAAAGGACATGATATGAACCCTTTAAATTTGTTCCTAGGTCTGCCTTTGCGGTTGTAAGTGTTCTGTGATTTTCTATTTCTCCTAGTCAGTGTTTGTATGGTAGCCCAAAAAGGACACGCCAAAGCAAACATGACTTTTTACACAAAACACACTATTTCAGTCAGAATGAGTTAATGTCAGAAAGTACTGGGGTGAAATTGATTCTTTAACCTACATAATACCTCAGTCATTCCACATTAACCCTTTCTCACATCTCCATTCCTGTCCACTATCAAGGCGTTCCCATAGGTTATACTGAGTTAATAACCTGCCAGTGCGTCTTGATGCTCGGCTTTGTGATGCAAACACAGTCTTAATTGCCATCCCACAAGAAGTGAATAGTCTGACCGGATTCTCATTACTCTGCTATGAATCGACATGGGCCTCTCTCTATGTCACTATAATGGCAAAGTGGCAGCATCCACTCGGGCGAGTAGTAGGAAGAGGGTTAACACAGTGAGTAAACATTCACATGCACAAGAGCTGTGTTTGAGTGACAGATGCCCACCATTCAGACTGTATAGTGGCTATTAGGTGGACACTTGTAGCTCATTGTGTTGTTTTGCTTTCTCTGTTTGCAGTTCCAGAATAACAACAACTACATGAACATGGCCGAAGCGAATGGGGCGCTGCTCAATGCTGGGGATGTGAGTACCGTATATACCTTTTATATGACTTCAACTGAACAAGCACAGTGCAATAGGGCTGCAAGATTAAAGCGCAATCGAATCAAGATCTCTATTTGAATGAACCTAATTAGCAAATCGCAAAGACTGCAATTTTTTTAAGTACCATAATTTCTAGGGATGCACTGAAAACTTACAAGTATCTGATATTGGCACCAGTATATATATTTTCATGAATCAGATATCAATTCCAAGATATCAGTTCAGTCATTATCGCATTTTGATTTGATAAATTGGTGTAATAAGACGATTTATTAGACAATGTTGGTTCTAAATGTGTCGTAATATTATCAAACTTGTATTTTTTCAAAGCTGTTCTGTGCTTACAAAACACATTTGGATCATTTTTCACCATATTCCATTTGTGTTTAGGTAATAGATTATATTTTCAGTCAGATATCATGACAGATATTTGAAGTATAAGTACTATAACGGTGACTCTTTATCTGCACTTGTAAATAGTTCATATATTTTAATGTAAAATGTCTGAAAATTTCAAAAGAAAGCTGTTTGTGTTAGATTAGAAGAGAGGGGTGGGATTAAATACATTTTCTTCTTCCCACTCCTTTTTGCACCATTTCTTTTATTTTTTGTTATTGTTATTTCTGCTATGATTCCATTAATGTTATATGTTCTGTTGTAAAAGAATGTAAACTTCTTACATGCCGAAAAAAATACATAAATCAGAAGTTAAAGTATCAACATCGGTATCAGAACTGTAAAAGCTGAATCGGTGCATCCCTAATAATAACCTCCACAAACAACATATCCTGTTTTATTCTACATAAAACTGGTAACGCTGTAGTTTAGATCTGTACAAACATGCGAAATGGGATCCTTGTATTAGTTTGTCATTTCTTTGTCAATTCTCCTGGACACATTTAAAATACAAACTTTCAACAGAATCTTATTATTATTATCCCAAATCTAATCACAATCACAATGCTTTTCAGAAAAATCTAAATTAGATATTTTCCCCAAATCGTGCAGTCCTACTGTGCAAATAAAATGGAAACAAATTGCATTTTTATTGTTTAGATATGTCACCATTTTATTACAAAAAGAAATTGCATCCAGATTAGACCCAGGTCTCTTTATTGCTGCGAAGCCTTGAACATTTCGATTGAAAGAGATGAGGGGACTGCAAATTACACCTAGCTTTTGAAACCTCCTTTTACCGACAATTTGCAAGTGTGTATTTTTCCTTATGACCTTCACAGTAATAGAAAATACCAAATTATATTCCTTTCATCAACCAAAGTCATTTATAATACTGGAAATATGCCTCAGTCCAAAGTTCTAAGAAATCTAGGATATTCTCACTCTGACTGTCCTGTTTAAAGATTCTTGTGAGCTTTAAGCCATGTTACAATGCTGTTACCTTTTCAAAAACATACCTGGAGTGTGTTTTGTGTCATTCACACATGTTTTAATATTCCTGGATTATTAGTCTGTCTATATCCCAAAAGATAAAGAGTAGTTTTCAAGTTAACAGCTACATTTTACCTTTAGTTCAGTAGAGATTTCCAATTCCAGTACTGAAATGATTCAAATGATTCTAGTGAAGGTGTATGGAGTTTAAAAACACAGTGGATCACTTCCTGTATGACCACATGACATCACAAAGTGGAACAATTTTTCATTTGAGAGAAGAACTCAAGAAATATGCAGGGTTTGTGTGAAACGAAAGACAAATCCAGGTATGTTTTTGATGAGGAAATAACATAATAACATACATTAAAGCATTGCATAATATAGGACTTTGACAGTTGACTAATATCTTATAACAAAACCATGATATAAAGTTGTAAATATGCCAGAATTATGCTCTGTATTGCCACATGTACTTTACCGAGTCATATAAGGTTGAACAGTGTGCTAAATTTACCCTTTTTATTCCCCCTCCGCCCACTCCGGCTACCCTGTCATTAGAGACAAGTGCACCAAAAATACTCAGCCTCCTCTGTGGTTCAAACGGGCCAATCTTCTCCAGTTTAGATTCTGTGGATGGATCAGGCTCTCCAAACCCACCGCAAAGCCCCATTAGGCAGCCCAGATACAGTAGATAGACTTATTGTTATGGTACATCCACTGGGCATTGGGGATGACCTCAGAACAGTGGGCGCTCACACAGAGAGGCTGTTGTGAAAGGAGGTTTATTTCCACCTATTCTCAAGTAACTAAATGCAATGTCACTTTTGCTGTTTCTTAACCCTTGTCTGATTGCATATACTTTTGAAACTCTGATCATATAAGTGAGGATGTATATTTTACTATTAGGCATACTATTACACAGTGGAGCTCCTTGTATTGAATCTTAACACTTAAATGGAAAAACACCCACAATGGTATTTTAGGTTTCTCTTTTAATTCTCTTTTAGTGTGTGGTCATATTTTCCACAAATAGGACATAATTAAATGCACATAGATTAGAACTACAGCAATTAATCTGAGTAATTGTGACTAATTGACTATTAAAATAAATGTAATTGGATTTTTATAATCTTTAGTTGTTGCTTAGATACAGAAAATACAAGCCAAAATACATTTTATAACTAAGACAGAAGCATTATTACATTAAAATTGTAAAGAAAAAAAATAATAATAATAAATCAACGATACACTATATTCTATTTCAAAGCCTCCACTGATAATATTTTCACTTTAATCACATTTAAATTAGTTCAAAAGGTTCTCTGGGTGCAACAGAAATTATAATTGCTTGACTATTCAATCGATTGAAAAAAAAAAAAGCACTAGATGCAGTTCTAATACATTTCTAAATGTGACTAGTACTTCCTGACAGTTCATAGACATCCGTGCCCTCCCTCAAATAAATAAAGGCCAACTCTACAGAAGTGCTATAAACATTATTTTAGGGGCCTAACTCTTCATGTGAGTGGATCCATGTATCAACAGGGGGCCAGGGCAGTGGGGTAACGCCAACGCAAGCTGCTTTGAGAGCCCCCCAGCTGTGAGGCCCACTCTGCAGTAAAGGAACAAGGGGGAGGGTTTAAGGTTTGAGGATGAGGGAAGAGCCGTTCTTGTAGAAAAAAAAGTCATTTGCATTTTATCAAAAGGAACAACTGTTTCCAGTGTTGGGGCACAGATGGTATTGTGCTTAGAAAGAGCCACAGAGAAGAAAGTCTTAAGAGTGGGGTTTATTTCATCAAACAGTAAGGTACAGTGTTATTGTTGCAATTCAAGATTCATTCAGATTGCGTTTAGTTTGGTTCAGTTTTGTGGGTTTTTGCTTAACATTGAATACACTGTGTTCCTCCAAGGGCACAGTAGAGGAAGTATGCCATACACTAATGCTGCATAATGACAACTGTCCTCAATAAACCACATGCATTTAGCCAGACCATGTTAGTGAATGTAACTTGAATCTAATTCTTTTTAAATACACATCTCTTATTTGAGCACAGCCTTGCATTTTGTGTAACTACAATATACATTTTTTGGCAAAAACTAATGACAAGAAAACAGTTGCATAATTTCTTAATCAAATCAAAATCATAAGTTGAGAAATCAGAATAGACTGACTGAAACATAGATGTGCTTCTGAAGAGGAAGTAATAAACTAATACAGTTTTTCCCACCTTCGTGCATAATTTGACTTTCACTTGCAAATTATGGCCTATTGAAACTTACCAAAATGTTAAGGGCTGCACCTAGTGATTATTTTAGTTGTGGGCCAGTCAGGGCACACCCGGGTTTACAGGGGTGCAAAAGGGTGCACTGCAAAAAATGTTTGCACCCTCATTTGAGGTGCCTAAAATGTCACTTAATGGAAGCATGTTATGTTTGCACCCATTTGAAACTCAAATGCACCCCCAGTCAGTTTGGTCGTGGCCGTGCCTGAGGTAGTGATTGCGTTTTTGCTTAGTCGACTAATCAAATGATTATCAAAATACACTTATGATTATTTTTAATAGTTGACTTGTCACATGTGGTCAATGAATCATTGCTGTCCTAATATTTAACCAGTTGATACGCTCTTTTGCGAATAAATTATTATTATTATTTTTTTTTTTTCCAAAAAATGATTGCAAACTTTGCCTTTGTGATGAAGACTAGTCATTTACTACCACCTCTGTAAAAAGTCAAATTTGAAGTATCTAATCCCTTCTCTCAAACAGAAAACACTCTGCTCCACCTTGTGATGTCATGTGGTAATACAGGAAGTGCTCCACCATGTTTTAAAGCTCCATACACCTTCATTAGAATAATTTGGATAATTTCAGCCCTGGAATTGCCAAACTCTACTGAACTAAAGGCAAGCTGTTTGCTGCAAGGTAGCTGTTAACTTGAAAACTACATGACATCACAAGGTGGAACAGAGCATTTTGAGCTATGAAGATGCAGACAGACTAATAATGAAGGGTTAATCAAATGTACGTAAATGAACCAACACATAGCAGGCATCTTTTTGCAGAGGTAACAACATTCTAACACGGCTTAAAGCTCACAAGAGTCATTTTGTGTATATAGTATCTTTAATTGTTTTACTGCATCTACAAACATGTAATACACTCTTAAACATCTACCCATGTTTCACTACAAGTAATCCCAATCTTGCATGCAGCGGGGTCCTGCTCCTTTTTACATGCCAGCTGTATCATTTACCTTGTGCACTTAGAGGAGGAGATAAGATGACCTTGGTGCACTGTCTAAAGCATACATCCTCCACTGCTTTCTCCACAGGGAAAACAATACTGTACTCCGAGATTGTGTTCCAGTCAGATGGATCACTTTACTCCCCCAATCCAATTAGAGCTGCGTAATCAACTATAAATATGTAGAAATGGACTCCAAATTTGAAATAATGTTGATGAGGGATAGTGGTTGTTGTCATTTGAGTAGCAGCACTTTCCCAGTGTACATGTTTGAAACTGGATCTTCACTCTGGCCACTATTGATCCTGAGGTCTATTATATGCAGTAATCACATGTGGGTAC